CGGTGGGGGGGGGGGTTAATGGTAGTTTATAGTAGTTTATTGTCACAATACAATCACACAGAAGTGTGGTACATCTAGTGGAACATGTAATCACCCAGAAAACATCAGGTGTCTGACTCTTGCGGAAACCCATCACCATGCTTAAGAGTATCCAAACCAAGCTGAGATTTCCACGCGTCCCACCTACACGTGGAAATCCCAGAGATGGATTGTTGGAATGGAATGCGCACTCTCTCCTTGCAGATTGGCAAGGGCTAAGGCATAGGGATGCCAGTGTGCATTGGGGCAACTGCTGGAGTCTAAGCAGCTAAAACTGCATAGCTTGTCATTGATATTGCTATCCATTCAGCAAGCTTTCCCGTTGCTTATCCGGCTAGGACCACACTACCCGTTAGGGGTTTGGCTTGCAGAGTAACAGGAGCTGAGTGGGTTGACTCCCTGGCCCAGTGACTTCCATTCCTGCCGATGAGCCAGGCTGGCTGTACTATCATCAGCAGTGCCCAGGAATACTGCGGACTCACCTGGCTCAGGAACTGGACTACCGAGACCGCTCAAGAGGGCTGGCTCGATTCCAGCATTCTATTGCCAGGCATATCACCCTGGATTCAAAGCAGCTCCAAGGAGATCCCGCTTACCTCCACCCCCCCACCCTCATCATCCCCAAGGAATACAGTAGAAAACATCTAGAGACATATAAACTTGGATAATAATAATCCTTGCATTCAATATTATCAGGTCTTTGAGACGTTTCAAAGCGCTTCACGGAATATACTGCAAAGTTAATTGACTGTATACTTTGAAGGTAAAACCCAGCAGCCAATTGAACACAGCAGTGTCCCACAAACAGTCATGGATTGAGTGACCTATTTATTTATTATTATTTTTTTGAAGGAATTATTACCCCCAGAAAAGTGATCTGCCAATCGACTAATAAGCAAGTTCCTGCTTTCTGTAAGGTAAACAGAAGCGCAAGGAGTAATGAAACTTGCCCAACGTGTCGCCCTGCCCAGGAATCAAACCCAGGTCTCTCGCTTGCGAGGCGAGTGGTCTAACCATTGAGCTACAAGACTCCCTGTGGATATACTCACAGAAATGTACTACAGTATTTCATTACAAGAAGTATTTTATCAAATTGCCTGCAGAACATTCTCTGAAATTCATCTATTCTCTATCTTCGTAGCTCTTTTATCATGTCAGAATGAAATTCTTAATTAACAACAAAATACTAGTGCCAATTTCCCCACATATATTATCAATTAAGCTAATAGAGCACTTGTATCAAAGGTTACAACAAATCTATTTAAAATTCCCACTAACCAACCTAGACTTAAAATACTTCCTTTCCTTCTTAAAAATAAATTTGCTGCTATTAAAAAAAATCTGAGGAATTTTTGATGAGCCAATAAATTGTGTAGCAACTAACTACCGGTGCAAGTGTCACCTTTAATTAAAGGAGATAAAGGCTTAGTACAACATTTTAAATGTGCTAGAAAGAGTCATTTAGAGTAATATGCAAAACCTCTACAAACTCTCTTTAAACTGCATTTAATAGACAGAAACTAAACTTTCGTCTTACATTCCATCAGCAGGAGGAAATGAACACTAAAACATAATTTCCAAATCCAGATAAATACGCAATGAGTTTAACACATGGAGTCCTGCAGCTCAGTGGTTAGAGCACTCGCCTCGCAAGCGAGAGACCTGAAATTGATTCCCGGCAGGGCGAAACCTTGGGCAAGTTTCCTTACTCCACACGCCTGATAATAATCCCTCAAGAAAAAAAACAATAATAAATTGGTCACTCAATCCACGACTGTTCGTGGGACACTGCTGTGCACGATTGGCTGCCGCGTTTCACCCACAAAATATACAATCAATTTACTTTACAGTATATTCTGTGAAGCGCTTTGAGACGTCCAAAAGACGTGAAAAGCTCTATATCAAATGCAAGGATTATTATTATTAGTTCAATTGTGAAGTAGAAAAAGCAGGCGGCTCAACTAAATGTGTAGTTACTGTGTTTCTGTAAATAAAGGTTTCCTTCACACATTACATTAGCCATATTTAACATTCGCATGGGTTTAATGTACTGTGAGCACACCTGTTCTAAGAAGCATTCCAAGTCACATTGCATGTCATTTCAAACTCATTTGAAGCAGATTTACCAGGACGCCTCCTCACAACAAATATTTTCCTTTATTCTGAGAGAGGCTATTTGAATATTACTATTCGCAATCCTATGCAATCCTAGTATTGTGGAGCCCTGTAGCTCAGTGGTTAGAGCACTCGCTTCGCAAGTGAGAGACCTGAGTTCAATTCCAGGCAGGACGAAACCTTGGGCAAGTTTCCTTACTCCACACGCCTAATAATAATCCCTCCAAAACAACCCAAAACAATAATAAAATTGGTCATTTTCAATCTACGACTGTTTGTGGGACATTGCTGTGCGCAATTGGCTGCCGCGTTCGCCCACAAATATACAGTCAATTCACTTTACAGTGTGCTCTGTGAAGCACTTTGGGACGTCCTCCCGACGTGAAAAGCGCTATATCAAATGCAAGGATTATTATTATTATTACTATTATTAATCCGTGGTTGCAAAACAGAAAAAGACCCTGAAGGTAGAATAGTGGGCACAATGCTAGGTGGGGAACTTCACTTGAAAAAGATCAAGCAGATTGCAATTATTTTTTTGTTCTCTTTCGCATACCTTGCATTATTATCCTCAAAGTATTACTTTTGAAGGTGTTGGTGGGACAGCAGAAATAGCTAGATTGGGTGGGAATAAATTCTGCAATAGTGACGATGTGTATTCACAAGGGTTTTTTTTTATCATTCACACAGGTCATCAAACTTCAGTAAATTAACTCCCAATACTGCACTCTTGGTCAGATCTGTGCAGCGACTGGTGCAACCCCTTTATAACACCTTCAGTAAAGCACTGCCTCACTTATAAGACATGTGGGTAATGGTTCCAGATCTTTTGAGGTATCAAGCAAACTGAACCTGAGCATAGAAAGCCAATTGGCTAGATATGGTCTACTTCCAGGTCATCGGACCACAACCAACAATACCTCCCAAGGAAGCCCTTGCCAGGAAGCTTCCAGTCCTACAAAAAGGCCACTTTCTGAGTCATAGGTTGCTGACGGCATCACTTCCTTCACACTGTGTACATTTAGGTTCTTGTATTCAACAACAACAATATAGCGCCTTCACATGGGGTAGCGCCCCGGAGCACTTGACTGTGGCGGAGTCTGACCCCGAGCCACGTGAGAAGGAGGGGAAGGTGACCGTAAGTACGATCAAAAAGGAAGGTCTTTTGGTGGGATTTGAAAGTGGGGACAGAGGGGGCAAGGTGGAGGGATTGAGGGAGAGAGGTCCAGAGTTTTGGGATATAGTACCTGAAGGCACAGCCACCGATGGTGGAGCGGAGGGGACGAGGGATGAACAGGAGGCTGGAGCCAGCCAAGCAGAGGCAGCGGGTCGGGGAATGGAGGTAGCAAATTGGACAGGTAGGGAGGTGCAAGGGGCAAGGGCATGAAGGGACTTGAAAACGAGTGAGAGAATCTTGAAATTAATTTGTTCAGTAATTGGGAGCCAGTAGAGCCTGGCAAGGGCTGGTGTGATTGGCGTCCGGAGTTTTGTGGGGGTGAGAATCTGGGCGACAGAGAAGTAGATTTGGGTGTCATCCGCATACATGTGGAAGTTGACCTCATGTCTGCGGGAGGAGAAACCGTTTGCCGAGATGTATTGCTGGTGGTTAGTCAAGTAGGACCCGAGTCAAGCAGGGCACTGTGTATACACGGTGTGCAGGAAGACGTCAGCAGCAAACTGATAACCCAGACTTTGGCCATTTTTATAAATGCACAGGAAGTTGGTCGGTTGCATGCTGAAACCAACATCGGATACATAGGGCACCTGGCTTATAAGCAAAGCAGCACCGTAACAACCACATCTCTTGGTTGTATTGTTGAAATGACAACTCACAAATGGACTGTTTTTTTGTTTGTATTTCAGAAGTCTTTTGTCAAACCATCCATATTTTGAGTAGCTCCCTTTGACCTGACTTACATTTTTGATCCGCTTCAAAAAGAAAATAATTTAAGTGAAATACCAATGACCATTGTGCAGCTTATCACTAAACTTGAAAAAAAGTGTGTAGACTAATTATCCTCCAGATGTAGCTGGGACAAAGGGGAGAGTCAGGGAGGCAAGTTATGAGGTCCTGGGGCAAAACAGTATGATGAGACTTAATTTTATCACAGTGAGGATGCAAAGGGAACGTAGAGTGTGTTTTCAGTGGGGGATATTAAAACAAAAAGTACTCATACAGGATATTGTTTTCCTTTAAAACTCCATCAGTGGACCAGGTAGCTTCCTTCATATTCCTCATAAAATTTCACTCACAGAAAATATATTTACTCAAGCAAGTAAAAAGAAAAGCATATTGGCTCTTTCGCCACTCATGTAGTAATTATCCACTTAAAACTTTTATAGCATCTTTGAGCAGTGCTCTGGAGCAGGAGAAAATAAGAATCTGCATATTGGACATATTTAGCAATTGCAAGCTCTGTTCCACACTGTGGCTATGTAATACATAAAGGGATAGCAAACAAAGAAATAAATGCAAATATCATCTTATACAACTAAAAAAGAGCATACATCAAAAATAATAGAATCAGAAGGTACTAGAGTGACAAATTGGATTCTACAGTACATTGATCACACTAGGTTTGTATTTCAGAAGTGTCCTTTGTCAAACCATGCATATTTTGAGCAGTTCCCTTTGACCCGACTTACAAAAACTGGTGTCAAAACTTATTATTAGTGTTTCAGCTTGCAAAAGTCTTACTGGGAATCAATAAATATGGCAGCATTGAACAATATTGTTAAAGTGGTGTACAATATTAGATAAGTGGAATATTTTACATGCATGAAAATAAAATTGGATCCTTAAATACAGCTAAATGTTTTATGAGTAAATGTTGATAGAAGCTTACCCAGTATTGATGGAAATGATTTCTATCAATGGATTTTTCCTAATCTTCGGCAAATCCAGTGGCGCTCCCCCTAGCCGTTTACCGTTATCCTTTTTCTGACCTAGAAGTCTCACAGAGTGACCTTCAAAGGAAACAAGAAAAACAAACATTTACACAGTCCTTTATTTACTGCACTGGAACCTAAAATATCTGCAATCTGCAAAACCAACCATTGATAATAATAATAATCTTGCATTTGATATAGCGCCTTATCACTTCTTTGAGACATCTCAAAGCGCTTCTGAGGATATACTGCAAAGTGGAGTGACTGTATTTTGTGAGCGAAATGCAGCAGCCAATTGCACACAGCAGTGTTCCACAAACAGTCGTGGATTGAGTGACCAAATTATTATTATTTTTTTGAGGGATGATGCAACCCACATTTTTACCCATGATTCCTGCCCCTTGTCTCATTTTTACATCTCTCCACTTGTTATTTCTGGTTAAGCGCACATCATGGAACACGAGCAGACACGTGAGGTTTTCAAATCACTAAACTGTCTTTGTTTCAGGAATTATCACTTTATATTGAATGGATGGATATTGAACACTAAGGTTAGTGAAGAACCATTTAGAAATACTGCCATACAATTAATCTGAGAACTTATCATACTGGGATAGTTGGTTGGTTTATTACCATGACTTTTATTTCTGCCGAAGTGCTCAAGTGACCAAAAGTCTCAGATGCTTAACCAAATGGTAGATATACCCAGATTTGTAATAGGGCCTGGGAAATAAATAACTTTGCACATCTACATTGCGTTTCGCCCACAAAATATACAGTCAATTCACTTTACAACAACAACTTGCACTCATATAGCACCCTCCATACAGAGTAGCGTCTCAGAGCGCTTGTATATTCTGTGAAGCACTTTGAGACATCTCAAAGTCGTAATAAGGCGCTATATCAAATGCAAGGATTATTATTATTATTATTTACGTAATGTGGATGCTGTATTTGACTCCAAATTATTTTTCTAAAATACAATAATTCAGAGGTGCACTTCTCCAACTCCACTGAAGAAGAAAAGTATAATAGCAAACATCAGATAACGTTAATTCTCTCGCGAATGTACTGCATTTATTTGTTAAACAGAAATTAATCCATTCTCTTTTTAATGGTAAAGAAAGAAACATTTCAAGATAGTAAAGATACTGGTGCTATATCATTGTAAAATATCATTATAATGCAATTTTGACTTTTTTTCAATTTTGAACTAAGGTATTACTGTTAGGATTTGCTACTAATATTGATGGTCATAAATTAAAGAGCAGTCGAAAACCCAAGATCCACACAACAATGTTTGTTGAAATGCAAGACAGTACAGAGACCTGCTGGAAGAGAAACAACTGTTTAATGTGCCTTTGCACCAACAAACGTGACCATTCTGATACTAAGCTGCAGGGTTATAATGAAGTGTGCATACACGATTCGTCACTCAATAGACAAAATACAAAAACTTGAAACAGCTTTCATTTGGACGCAGAAATGCCACTGTTGCATTTACGAGGTTAACAAGAACTGACTCTACTGCAGCACAAGTAATAGCTTTTCCTCAAATGTAAAATAATTTCCAAATGACAGACAGTTACTGGTTAAAAAACCACACAAACGAACCTGAGCCCAAGTAATAGCTTAGCCAGCTTCTGAAATACAGCACTGCAACTGTGAGTTTGTCAGGTTAATGAACATAATGTACTGCAAGAAAAAGTGGGATCTTAGCTCCCTGAAGGCAGAACTACTTATCCTGATAACTTGGGTATTGTTGCCTCCAGAGGTGTAATGAGGACCCATCTCTGGTCATAGTGCGAACTGCCTCCAGAGGCAACGGACATTTCAGCTGAAGGCTACTGATACGACCATAATTCCTCTGGGCTAGTTGCACAGGCTTGTACTTTCCATCTTTCAATTTATAAACTTGTTCATAAAACACAAAAGGATAAGATAGCAACAAAGACCAGCACAAAATAGCACAATAACTAATAATTCAACAACAAAATTACATTTGTATAGCGCCTTTCACGTCGGGGGGACATCCCAAGGTGCTGGACAGTTTCGGACCCGAGTTGGGGATCGGGATTGGGGAAGATGGAGGGCAGGGGGGGAAGGAGGGTGATCGAAAACACAGTCGAATAGGAGGAAAATAGTCCATTTTCTGGGAGAATAATGAATAATGGTATGGGCACATCTAAGAGAAAAAGCTCTTAATTTGGCATTGAAGACAGTCTACTCTCCGTAACTAGGTCAGCAAAACCAGAAAATCTGAAAATACTTTGATATTCAAAATAATTTATATAAACTCATCAGAAGGAATCACTACACACAAACTACACAAAAACTAACTATTGCAGAAAAGGCTCTGCTCCCCACCTTCTCAGACATAGGACTCTTAAGCTTCCATCAAATAATTCAACAGCTCAAAATTGCCAGTGTTCAAGCACCTCATAAGTAAACCTCTAGCTGTGCATACACAATGGAGTCAATGTTAGCAAGAGAGTAAATATTTTACTATTTCAGCACCAGACTCTACAAAAACAGTCAAACTGAGAAGATATTATAACACAGCTTGATACAGCTACTATGAAGTGTACAGCAACACATTGGTTCCTGTAGAATAGGTCCTTGTTTAAGTTAATATTTCATTTAAGCCCTGTATAATTAGAATCTTGGCTTTTATTCTCCTGCAAAAGTAAAAGGTTATTCAGTATTTAATCATATATATTGCTGCAGCTTAGTGGTTAGATCACTTGCCTCACAAGTGAGAGGACCTGCAGCAGGGCGAAACGTTTGGCAAGTTTCCTTACTCCACACGCCTGTTTACCCAGCAGTTAGTAGGAACCTGTTTTTTAATCGATTGGTGGATCGCTTTTCTGGGGGTAATAAGCCATTCAAAAATAAATAATAATAATAATGCATTCACGTAATCATAGAATCATAGAATAATACAGCAAAGAAGGATGCCATTCGGCCCATCATGCCTGTGCTGGCTCTTTGGAAGAGCTAGCTAATTCACGACTGTTTGTGGGACACTGCTGTGCACAATTGGCTGCTGCGTTTCGCCCAGAAAATATAGTCAATTCACTTTACAGTATATTCTGTGAAGCGCTTTGAGACATCTAGAATGCAAAGCTTACTATTATTATATTCAACTGAACCAGATATTTTGAATTAGATCCCATGGACCCTCCATCGGCAACCGTACTTTGAGCCCCAAATTTGTAGAACTCACTCCCTCAATCCCTTCACTTTGCCCCCTCTCTCCCCATTTTCAGGTCGTGCTCGAAGACCTAACTCTTTGACCGTGTCTACAGTCACCTTCCCCCTCCCCCGGCTCAGCATCGGGCTCCGCCACTGTTAAGTGCTCCAAAACACTGTCCAGCGTGAAGGGCGCTATATAAATACATGTCGTCGTTGTCGTACATTTATCAATAGTTCAGTAAGAACCAGGCTACAAATAGTTAAGTCTCAGTTGATTTTTACCACTTCATTTGTGACCTGCCTGCACATTAAAAAGCCTGACTAAAAGCACACCAATGTTTGAGTTGGTAACTGCACCATCCAAAAAACACATGTTCAGTAAATAACATTGGCTTGAAATGCACTCGTATGAAATATTTCATCCAAATTCGTATAGAAGTTAGTATATTAAAACAGGCAGCAGTTTACAAGGGATAATCTGTTTTATCATTAAGAATCCTTCAATTTGAGATAGTGTTGTAACATCAAAACGTTGCAAAAAGCTTTACAGTCATAACTGTTAAAGACAGTTAAAAACTATTTGTAGGCAAACATAAGTCAATTTGCACGCATCAATATTCAAAAAACTGCCATAAAATTAATTTATTTTGGAGGATTGCTGGCCAGCACATCGGGAGAAATTCCTTTCTCTTTTCGAATAGTGTCACAGGTCTCTTAAAGTCCACCTAAATCGGTGGCCGGGTTTTCAGCCTCTCTGCCGCTACACTCTGGCACTCCATCCCACAGTCCCTTTGCCTCGCTTTCTCCCTCGCATCCTTCAAGGTCGGTCTCAAGACCCTCCTCTTCAACCGTGCCTTTGGTCTCCCTCCCACCTCTCTGCCTTCCCTCACCCCTACACCACCCCTCCCCCATGCTCGGGCCGCTGTTCAGCATGTTGGGACATCTTCCCGACGTGAAAGGCACTCTATAAATGTAATTTTGTTTTTGTTGTTGTTGTTGTTAGACGGGACCTCGTGTTAACACCTCACCTGAAAATAGGCACTTCTGACCATACAGTGCTCCCTCAGCACCTCACTTAGTGTCTCCCGAGGCTTAAGGTGAACTCACAACCTTCGACAACACCTTGCATTCATATAGCGACCTTCACACGGGGTAACATCTTAAGAGTTTAAAATTAAATTAATCTTAGATTAACAAAAGAAATTAGGTATTTTAGTTGAAGATACATTTTCCAAGCAATTCATCATAAAACACATCTAGCTATAATTAGCAGCAATAAACTTGTACAAATAAGAAATCCCACCCTATGTATTACATATGATGCAATTGACAAATTACAGTAACTAGGTAGAACAATAAACCATCAACGTCAAGATGCTGATTCATTTATTAGTCAGAAAAAAGTGGATTTTCAATTTATATCCACACTCAATTTATTGTATACATACAATATACACTCACATTTTAAATTTAATGAGATTAGCATCATCTGAAATGAGTAACAAGCAATATAATATGGTTGTCACTTCTCGGCTGGACTACTCTAAAGCCCTCCTCGTCGGTCTTCCCTCCTCCACTCTTCACAAAATTCAGCTCATTCAAAACTCTGCCACCCGCATTCTCACCCACATCAAACTTCGTACCCCAATTACTCCAGTCCTGACCAAACTCCACTGGCTCCTGTCACAGAGTGGATCGACTTTAAGATCCTCACTCTAGTGTTTAAATCCCTCCATTCCTTGGCACCCCCCATCTCCCTAACCTCTCTCCCCACAGCACCCACCGCCTCCAGTCTACTGGGTCCGGCCTCCTCAGTGTCCCCCGAATCCTCTGCTCCACCATCGGCAGCCGTGCCTTCAGCCATTATGCTCCGAAACTTTGGA